TTGTGTCCTCTCTGGGTAAAGCTGGCTCACTGGTCCAGGCTGCCAATGAGCCTTCACTCACCATCACCTTTCTGCTCCATTTTGCACAGTCTCCTTTCCCATGGTTACGTAGAAGACTATGATGCCTCTTATAGTTGTAACTCTTACATCTATATTCAAGTCAGCAGAAAAGAAATACAGGAAGACCAATAAAGTTCTGCTTACAGTATATAGTCAGTCACCTGGTCAAAATAAGCTGCTAGGAAAGGGTAAGAACTTTTCCTTTTTTTCTTTTTTTTTTTGGAGTCTTATAAAAATGCCCTGATATTGGAAGACAAACCAAGAATGATCACAGTCATACCCAGAATCCTCCCAAGAGATCTGAGCCCCTTGGGATTTTTTTTTGTCTCCATTGGCGAGTCCAGTTTCAATCTCAAAGATCTATAGTTATATTAACCAATCTAAATGTTGTATGATTGAGGTTCCAAAGAAAATGAGACACTTTTTGCATTTCTGTTACTTTATTTCAAACACAGGGGTGACCTTCAGATAACACTTTTGCTGACAGTTAAATTGACTCATTTGAGGTTGGTCTGCTGGAGAAAAATAATTTAGCATAGAAAATTAGTCTGCCCCAATGAAAGGAAATATTAGCCCCAGGCGTGCTTTGTGCCTTGACAAGACAGTATAGAAGGAACTGGCAGAGTGTTCTTAGCTGGTGACTGACAGCATAGGTTTTGACATTTGCCCATACAAAAGGAATCCCAGAATCCTGACAGGGTCTTTAAAGTTCCCTTTAGCTGGTTTGTTTTCCCAGCCAGTCTATACCCTCAGAATGGGTCCAGTCATGAAGGATGTACTTAGTTCTACCACCAAAAATAGATTTTCACTTTTATTCTAAAGAGAAGGTGAGTTCTGAAACAGACATCTGGGACTACTATTTGTGATAGCATCTATAGTCAAGGAATCTTTCTGCAAAGGTGAACCTCAGTCGTTTCATTTAAAATCTAGGTATGTTGCCTGTAGGGTTAAGCACTTATTTCCCATTTTCAATTGTAGTATGAGGGCCGGCTTGTTGGGGTTTCTGTCCCGCCCAGTACCCCACAACTGGCAAGTCCCAGAGAAAATCAATCACACAGAGATCTCTATAAGTTATAAAGCTGATTGGCCCATTAGGCCAGGCTTCTTGTTAACTCTTATAACTTATGTTACCCCATTATTCTTATCTACGTTAGCCACATGGGCTCAGTACCTTTCTCAGTGTGACAGCTTACATGTTGCCTCTTTGGTGGTCTGGACAGGAGTGGCTGAGAGAGAGCTTCTGCTTCCAGAATACTCCCAGTCTCTTTGCTCCACCCCTACTTCCTGTCTGGCTTTCCTGCCTATACTGCCTGCCTGGCCAATCAGCGTTTTATTAAAATATGGTTGACAGAATACAGATAAGTCTCCCGCACCATTCAATCATGATAGAAAGAAAACTTTTCTTACTGCAAATGAACTACAATCTCTCTGGTAGTGTTTGAAAGTATGGTTATGGCACATCGGTAATGATCCATGTACTGTGTCACTCAGATTTCCATTAACGATTTCCCTTTACAATGTGGGGGTTGGACCAACATAAAGCCATAAGTATTGGTAATAATGAAAATGTTTAGTGTATAAAAAAGTGACTTTGGGCAGAAACAAAACAGTGGATTATTATGGTTAGCATCTTTATTTTTTTTAAGTAAACTTTAATTCTACTTTACCTCATTAAAACCAACCAACCAACACACAGACGCACACACTGCTCCTGAGGAACAGGGTAAGTGGGAAGTGTCTTCCATCTGGATATAATGTTGACAAATGAGAATTTACATGGGAGTGAACTATGTCATAAGATTATCAATCACCTAGACACCCGAGGGAGTGAGTCTCAGGTTGGCCAACAACATTTTGAAACTTATCTCTTCTAAGCCTTCTAAGTCAATATAAATGACATGTACTTTTGTAAATAAACCCATTAAGTTTCTGTTAGGAAAATTGATTGTGACCATGTTAAAATAATTACACAAAGTCAGTTAAGCACCCTCTCATCCTACTAGCATTGAAATCACTCCACATGTTGAAGGTGACCTGTAGTATGAGGGCTGGCTTGTTGGGGTTTCTGTCCCTCCCAGTACCCCAACAGCCGGCAAGCAACAAAGAAAATCACACACAAGACTCCATAAGGTTATAAACTGATTGGCTCATTAGGTCAGGCTTCTTGTTAACTCTTATAACTTATATTATCCCATTATTCTCATCTATGTTAGCCATAATGGCTCCGTACCTTTCTCTGCTGGGCAAGTTACATGCTGCCTCTTCGGTGGTCTGTACAGGAATGCCCAAGGAACCTTTCTCCTCCCTAGCCTTATCCTATTCTCATTACTCTGCCTCTACTTCCTGTCTGGTTGACCCACCTATACTTCCTGCCTGGCCAATCAGCGTTTTATTAAAATACATGATTGACAGAATACAGATAATTCTCCCGCACCATTTCCCTCTTTTTTTTAAAAAAAAAAAAAAGGAAAATACCCATAGTCCATTTGTTGGGAATGTGGGCGTAGTATTTCAGGCTACTTCCTGCTGGTTGGGGGTGCTGATAATCTTATGGGGACCTAAAGAAAATTTAGAGTTATAATCAAGTCCTGACTGAAGTATCCTGTGAGTCTTGATCATCTCAGGCAGCAGTCTTGAACCTGTTCTGGATGAAGAACTCAGACATCTGGGCCATCTATTCCTGTCGGAGATTTTTCAGGTGGCCTCCCTTGGTCAAAGGTGATTTTTCTTAACTCTGAATAAATCCAGAGCCTCTCGTTTTCTGTGGAAACAAAAGCAGAATCTCTTCTCCAAAGTAGCATACCTTTTGACTTCAATTTTGAAGCCAAGGTGTTTTCAAAATACCTTTCTTGGGTTAGTTCAGCAGCATTTATAAACAACAGTCCTTTAGCAGCTGTTGCTCCTTCCTCAGCATTCAAACAATTCAAAGAGAGCATAATGGCATACAGTATCAAGATTCTCTTTGTATTTTCCATCTTTGTGTGGCTTTACTTTAACCTCTATTTCTTTTATTTTTACTTTTACTTTTTGAGACAGGTTCTCTGTATATCTTTGTCCTGGAATAACACTGTAGACCAGGCTGTCCTTGAATTCACAGAGATCCTTCCAGTCTCTGCCTCCCCAGTACTGGGCTCAAAGGTGTTTGCTACCACACCTTGAACTCACAGAGATCCACGTGTCTCTGCTTCCCCAGTGCTAGGATTAAAGGTGTGTGCTACCACACCTTGAACTCAGAGATCTGTCTGTCTCTGCCTCCCAGGCATTGGGATTAAAGGTGTGTGCTACCACACCTTGAAGTCACAGAGGTCAATGTACCTCTGCCTCCCAGGCATTGGGATTAAAGGTGTGTACCACTACACCCTATTTCTCCCTTTCTTTCTTTTTTATTTTTAATGACTTTCACCTTTAGCCTGCATATATTTTTAACACAGTGTAAACCAGTTAGAGGTTTTCTTTCTCTTTGAATCTCTCTTTACTGTATATCTCTCTTTTTCTGACTACATAAGCCTTTAATTTACTAAGCAATATGGAGAGCCGTGGCTTTGATGGCTAGATCCAGCTCATTTTTTAACTTTTCAGCCTCATGGCTGAGATACCAGCCAGAGCTGTGTTCACTGCCACAACTCTATGGCGTTTCAAGGTCCTTGCTAGCAAGCAAGCTGCAGCATTCTGCTCACAGACCACACTCAGTAGGACTGCCTGTCTGAAAGAGTCAGAGTTTGCCCTCGCAGGACAGCCCAGAAAGCCGGCATTTTAAAACAGTGCAGCTTTTTTTCCTGCTACGACTGAAAACCGAAAAGCATGCATTCAGATTTTCCTAAACACAGTTTAAGTGTTTAGTGGCAGGACCTCTTAAAAGAGCTGCAAAGTTTTGCAGCTAAAGCTGAGTCAGGAAGCCTCTCTTAGATGAGAGTGCTTGCTTGCCTCTAGCAAGCAGAGCAGACCCGAGAAATTGCTGCTACCAAGAAACCATGCTTTACTCTATTCTTTCCCAAGCTTTCTCAAGCTTTCTGTGGATTCAGTTATCCATGTTGGGCGCCATCTGTAGTATGAGGGCTGGCTTGTTGGGGTTTCTGTCCCTCCCAGTACCCCAACAGCCGGCAAGCAACAAAGAAAATCACACACAAGACTCCATAAGGTTATAAACTGATTGGCTCATTAGGTCAGGCTTCTTGTTAACTCTTATAACTTATATTATCCCATTATTCTCATCTATGTTAGCCATAATGGCTCCGTACCTTTCTCTGCTGGGCAAGTTACATGCTGCCTCTTCGGTGGTCTGTACAGGAATGCCCAAGGAACCTTTCTCCTCCCTAGCCTTATCCTATTCTCATTACTCTGCCTCTACTTCCTGTCTGGTTGACCCGCCTATACTTCCTGCCTGGCCAATCAGCGTTTTATTAAAATACATGATTGACAGAATACAGATAATTCTCCCGCACCAGTGACCTCCTGATATTGTTTGACAAGAAGATGTTTTTGTGTTAACTCACTAAGAAATATCAATTAAGATTTTAAAAAAATCTTCCTACATATACTCAACTGATGAGACATAATGCTTTGGAATTCTAAAATTCCAAAGAACTCTACACTTTCTTGCAGAGCTAAAAACTAATAGTGAATATAACCACCTAAAGACACCAAAATATTTTTCCTGCATAGAAGAGTATCTAAAAGATTACATATGCAAAATCTGTTTAGGGCAGAAACAAGTGCTCACTAAATGCAAATTATTACCATTGCTCATGAGAGTGTTATTATTATTCTCCTGTCTTCAGTATTAAAATGAGCATAGCTGAAATGTTTCAAGACCCAAATATAAATCTTTAAGAAGACAGATTCTCAGTAATATTTAAACACGTAAAAAGCTGCAGACAAAGCTAGAGTTCTCAATGTTCCATGCTCACCATCTCTGACTCATCGCTCTCCTTGTCTTAAAGATGTTCCATGAAGATGCTTCTGGTGGCTGGCAGCTGGTAGCCGTGGATGTCAACAAGCCCCAGGGACGAGCCCCAGCCTGCCTACAGGTAAAGCACAACACCATTTTAAAAAATCATTCAGCCTGAATCATTGACTTTTATTTAATACAAAGAAATCCATAGACTACAAGCTCTAGATTTGCCCAGATTTATCAAGAAGTCGGGGCAATGTTTTATTCTGTTCTGTATTCATAACCTAGCTAGTATTCATTTAAATGTATAGTAGGTACCTTACTTTGTTTTCTGTTGCTGTGATAAAGACCTTGACCAAAAGCAAATTGGGTAGAAAGAACTCATTTGGTTTAGATATCCAGGTCACAGTCTACAGAGATAAGTCAAAGCAGGAACTTGAAGCAGGAACTTAAAGTCAGGAACTGAGGCAGAATCAATGGAAAAAATGCTACTTACTGCCCTTGTCTCATTCAGTGTGTTACCATCCAAGATCACCTACTGTACCAGGGCTTTTCTTTTGGGCACCATCCAACTCCTAAATCATGACACAGAGACTTATTATTAATTATAAATGTTTGGCCTAGCTTAGGCTTGCTTCTAGTTAGCTCTTTTAACTCAACCTGTTTCTTTTTATGTACTTTTTGCCTTGGAACTTTTTACTTTTTCTTTCCTCTGTATATCTTACTTTCACTACGTCTTGTGACTGGCTGGCTAGAGACTGCCTGGCTTCTCGCCCCAGGTATGTCCCTCTTTCTCCCCCCCCCCAATTCTCTCATTCTTCCATTCTCTTCAAGCCCAGATTTCTCCTCCTATTTATTCTCACTGCCTGTTAGCCCCACCATCTTTCCCCTGGCTAGCTATTAGCTGTTTAACTCTTTATTAGACCAATAAGGTACCTTAGGCAGGCAAGGTGAAACAATTGCAGCATATCTTTACACAATTAAACACACATCCTTATGTCATTAAACAAGTGTAGCATAAACAAATGTAACATTTTTGCCTACTTAAAATAATATTCCACAGCACCCTATCAAGGGGCAGCACCACCTACAATGGGCAGACTCCCTCCCATAGCAATTATTAATCAAGGAAATGAACCCAAATGCTTTCCTTTTGGCCAATATGATAGAGACATTTTCTCAGGTCTCCTAAGATGACCATAGCTTGTGTCAAGCTGACAAAAAAATAACAAGTAAGTGGGGATTTGATAAATGATGAATAATGGCACATAAACAAAAGCATTTCGACACTATCAATCAACAGAAAATTTTGTCATCATGTTAATTCTTGTCAAAATATTTCCTAAAATGTCTGAGTTATGTAGGACTGTGCAATACCTCCATAGGTAACTGGGAATGAAATATATCAGCACATGATTTGTTATGCTACATGACCAATCTCCAGAGCAAGATGACATCAAGATGTTTTGATAGCACAAAGAATTCTAAAATTAAGCATGGGATGATAGATTGCAAGGGCATCTGAAGTCATGACAAGACTCAAATGGTCAGAAGATAGGGTCTGGGGTCCCTACCTGTTAAACTTCTAAATTCACTCAGATTTGTTTACTTTTTTCCTCTTCGGATATTTAACCTCTTGAATATTTAAATTTATATTGAAGATTTTATTTTTCTTTCCTATATAAGGTGCACAAATATTTTCCCGTTTTGTAGGTTGCCTCTTCATTTTGTTGCTTATTTATGTGTTTCTATCATTTAAATAATGGAAGCTAAGTTCATTATTCCCAGATGTATAATGGTAATATTAAATATTATCTTCTGGTTTTCTTCTGATCTATGTTGATTGTACTACCATCACTAATATACAAATATAGCAGCTGCTTCTACTATTACTGTTACCATTGTTTGCAGAATTCCATGTTTTACCCGATTGAAAAAAATATTCAAGGAGTCACAGACTTGTTTGGAAAATAAACTAGCAGAGTACCAAATAAGAGACAAATAATCCATCCAAAGTTATCTAAAGCCATTTTAGTCCCAGGAAGTACTGCTTGTTTGAGACCACGGTGACATGAAAATAGAAATAAATGCCTTTTATCAGAGTGGTTGTTATTGCCATAATTGGTTCAATTTCTGGTTCCTGGAAGTGAGGCTCATGAAGACAACTAGAGCGGGGTTCCAGGAGAAGCCGAGCACTTTAAGACCTTCTAATGTTGCGCCGCTCTTACACGCATGCTCTTTCCTTTAGTAAATGCATATAGAGCTACTACAGGTTTGGGCGTAGTTTTTGTAGAGATCATGGTTGGTGTGGCTCCTACTAATGTGGAGTTTTTTCTTGCAGGAGAAACGGGTGTTAAATAACCAACATTAATCAGAGAGACTCAATTTTGCCTTTGTTTCCTAGCTCTTCATCCCCTCCCCCCGAATAGAACTGAGTATTGTTTACCACAGGTCTACGTGTTTATCTGTCATAAAGCACTAAAGGGCATTTGTCTTTGTCTCAATTTTAAAAGAGTAAATAAATCACAGCGAGATAGCACCAATAGGCACACTCAAGTACTTGCTAACAGAATACACTAAGAAATACACCTGTTCTTCATAGAAGCAAAGTCTGTCATACAAGTGTTAATATGCCTTTTTAAATTTTATATGTAATGTTGGCACTTGTTTGGGAGACCCATAAAATAAGTTACACTAATGTTATTATATATTGTAAAAATGATATAATAGCAATTAGTGTGTAAACTTTAAAATATATTATAAAACTTTAAAATATATTATAAAAATAGCCCACCCAATATTTTATATTTTCAAAATTTTACATTTATAACTCAGCATAAATAGCATCTGGCTCAAAATCTCCTAAACATTGGGAATATTAGAATAATGCCTCTCCTCTTTTGTGCCAATTCTTCCAAATTTGCTACGTTTCTGAGTTGGTATTGCATTTCCACCTCCTTCCTTTCCTTTTTTGTGTCAATTGCTCTGAATTTGCTACATTTATGCATTGATATTGTATTTTTCACCTCCTTTTTAGCTTTCTGTGTCCTTGTCTGGCTTTTTTGCTTGTGAGCTTTCCCACCAATTATAAGCAATTGGACAATTAATTGATGTGCCTCAGTCTTCTCTACCTTACCCCAAATGTTCCAACTCTATTGGTCTTCCTGCCTTCTCTTTACATTTATAGGTTGTGGAATTATGCAGATGAATCGTGATATATGGTGATCCAATAATAGAGATTATCATGTTATTAGTGGACCAGCCACTTCTGATCTGCAATTAGAAACTATGTGAATTCATTTACCATTATGTGAGATTCAAATTAAGGTTGTAATCAGAGGCGGCATACTAAGTATAATGGGAATCACATGCAGGCATGCTGAGAAAAGATTTCAGTCTTATGTCCTTAGCTTGCTGTTTTCTGTTTAAGATTAATGAAAATAAATGTTCATTGCCATGAATTATAAAGTTTTAAAATCAGAACAGGAGGATGGACTGACAGAACAGTGTTGTTTGACTTGATAGGTCATTCTTAAGTTCTCTAACATACTTGTTGAAATGTGTATGTCTCTCTCTCTCTCTCTCTCTCTCTCTCTCTCTCTCTCTCTCTCTGTGTGTGTGTGTGTGTGTGTGTGTGTGTGTGTGTGTGTGTGTGTAATTCCTGACAGATTCACTCTTAAACGAAGAAGACATATATGAAAGTCCTGTAGCCCAGGAAGCGCCTTCACGCTCCACCCTGAAATGGCTGACTCTCTCTGCCCTCTCTTCCCTGGCTCTACTCACTTGCTGGCCATATAGAGAACTCCTTCCTGTCTCCACTTTGTACTATGACAGTAGGGTGGCTAGAGAAGAGGGGCACAGTCTAAGGCAGTGGTTCTCAACCTTCCTAATGCAGAGACCCTTTAATAATGTTGCTCATGTTGTGGTGACCCCAACCACAGAATTGTCTTTGTTGCCACTTTATAATTGTAATTTTACTATTGCTATGAATTTGTAAGTGTCTATTTATTGATAGTTTCGCCCAGGGGCTCACAGCCTACATGTTGAGAACGGCTGGTCTGCGGGCCTGAGTAAACCACTCCTCCCAACTGGATTATTTTCTCTTTGCTCTAAAACTGACTCCAACGTTCATCTCCCATTACCACCTCATAATCTGAGGAAATAACATAAGCATTTGTGTTTTCAGTTGAGAAACGTTTGTCACAATGTCAAAGAGCACAGCTATTGCTGGTATAATCTGGTATCTCAGGCCACTGCACATCCTGTACCCCTCTTTTCTTCTGAGCTATGTAGTTTTCATTTCTGTTTCTCTCATGTACCTGTCTCCATTCTCTTACCTAATCACTGTAGCTTCACTCTGGTTCTTGCCCATTATCCACAGTGGCTGACTATGACTCTGAGCATGGTGACCTCCCACACATATTTTCAGAAGAAAATTACCAGAAAACTTGCAAAATGCGAATGAACTGAGAAAAAAATGTGATGTAAGAATAGGTCACAAATGTGGAAAGCCTTGATTTCAAGAATTCGGTCTTGGAAATTGAAGCAGAAGCAGGTGATCTGCTTAAACAAAACACAATAGCAAGCACTTGTTAGTGTTGATGGAGACTTGGTACAAGACAAGCAAACATGGGTATGGATTTTCAAGTGTATAAATGCTCAAATCACTTATAATTATTCTTAATGTTTGGTGTCTGTTAGAATGTTTCCACGATCATTCTGATTCTGTTAGTTTGGTCATCTCTTTATTTCTTTTGGTTGGTTGTGTCAAGAGTTTGTCAATCTTGTTTATCTTCTCAAAGAACCAGTTCTTGTGTTTTCTTTTTTTTCTATCTCATTAATTTCTGAATAAACCAATCCTATATGATTTTTATTATTTATTGCCAGCTACTTGGTTTGCTTCTTGTTTTTCTTTTTTGTTTGTCTGTTTGTTTTGAATTTTTGTTTGCTTGTTTCTTGTTTTCAATTTTTTAGTTGCATCATGAAGGCATTTGGAGCTATAAATATCCATCATAGGACTACTTTTAGTGTGTCTCAAGGATTTTTTTGTGTTATATTTTCTTTTAATTTCAGAAGACTTTTTATTTATTTATTTATTTGTTTGTTTGTTTATTAATTTCTTCTTTGACCCATTCA